ACCAGAGAAGTGCTGGACTAATATTCAGGCGTTTGAGCAACTGAGCGAATGGAGACTGTGCAATGCTTCTATTAAAAGGACAATTGCTCTGCAGGCGCAAGCTTACACGGAGCACATGTGCAAGACATTAACCCGCCACAGAGGATGAAAAGAGTGGGTATGTTGTCATAGCAACACACGCATAAACATCACCAACAGGATATAAGAGTGGACCTGTTGCCATAGCAACACATGCATAACCATCCACACAGTTTTTAAGAGTGATCCTGTTGGCATAGCAACCAACACATGCCCCGTGCCTAATTGTCCACAACGATGTCTGCGTGCACACGTTACCTTGACAACGGCCTCTTGGTACAGCAGTGGCAGTAGCGTATCCAATTGGTCCGAAATAAGACTCGGTTTGTTGTGTGCGGCCGAGTTGAGCGTTACCAGCGACACCCTGCGCACGTGCTGAAGATGGTAGATCGACACGTGAGAAAATAGGCATACGTGAGAAAATAAGCATATGACGGAATAAGTAAAGGCGTGCGACTGAGTAGGAATGAGAAGGTACCCCCACGGCCTACTCAGTCCCCGAATACACATACAGAGCACACACAATTCAACGCACGTAACCCGCTGGGGCTGGTTATAGGACTATACTGCACCACAACCGACAGATTGTGACTGGTAAGGGGCCAACGAACAAACAACCAAACAAGCACTGTCAACCAATGGGTTTGCGCTGTTGGTCAGGGTTGAAAAGAAAAGATAATAAAAATGAAGAAAGAAAAAGAAGAAAGGCAGACTTCATTTCACATAGAACATGCCAACACACACGCAAAGAAAGACTGAAGCTGCGATACAAGACGTACATGTGTACACCTGCACCCAAAGAAAAAGGACACACGATGTACACCTGCACCCAAAGGAAATGGACACACGACGTACACCTGCACCCAAAGAAAAAGGACACACACCAAATCCGAGTCCTCAATATGGGACATAAATTGCGGCATCAGCGGACGCAGAAGGGCATCGATGGGCTGTGGAGTGTCTGCGATGGTGTACTTAACAGCGGTAATAACGGCACACCTGACTGTGGCATCGGGTGACTGGAGACTGTAAGATGTGACGGAATAAGACAAGTAGGTGAGATGTGACGGAATAAGACAAGTGGGTGAGATGTGACGGAATAAGACAAGTGGGTGAGGTGTGACGGAATAAGACAAGTGTGTGAGATGTGACGAAATAAGGCAAGTGGGTGAGATGTGACGGAATAAGACAAGTGTGTGAGATGGAATAAGACAAGTGTGTGAGATGTGACGGAATAAGACAAGTGGGTGAGATGTGACGGAAGAAAATTAGCGAGACATGGGAGCACGCGAACACTCGTCACAGCATGCACTACAATCTCCGTACAAATGGAAGCACAATATGTACACGTACACACAAACATGTGTATATATACACACGTGCACATGTATATATACACACGTACACATGTATATATACACACGTACACATGTATATACACGCACGTACATATGTATATACACACACGTACATATGTACATATACACACGTACATATGTACATATACACACATACATATGCACACACGTACCGTTCGATAAGCATAGGGAGGCAGTTGTGCGGGTCAATGACCGTGAGCTTGCCCGCACAGTCCGCCACCACTCCACGCATGCCCTCCTCAGACAACGCACACTGATCAAACAGCAGCGACCACAGCCGAGGCACCATGGGCTTAAACTCCGCCACTCGTTCTGGGTTCTGGGACTACGAGAGAAAGGGGGAGGGGGGGGAGGGGGGAGGGTGTTGAGTGTATGGGTCGTTTGTAGATAGACAGAGAATGTAACGCTGGTATAGACGTAATTGGTTATTGTTCGATTGTATTGATGTATGCGAGAGATAGGATACTATATGTCGT